GCCATGTAGTGTGCAATAAGGGAATTTTGCTAGGAAAGCAGCATTGACCTCCCTTTTTTTATTTCCAACTGTCGAATGATGTTGTGGTGTACAGCTTGTAGCACACGGTGATTGGTTGTTTGAGCAGAAGTTCTACAATAAACAAAAGTAAACACACCATCTAGTAATCCATGAAAAGGGACAAACAAAAAATTCAGAAGATTGAAGATTAGAATGCAAAAAATTACGAGATTAAGATTTTGATATCCGGTTTTAAACCCACATTCGCTTGAGATAATATTTTCATCAATGAAACATGTCATACAAACACATGGGAGGCCATGTGAAATTGATTTATTTACATGCATGTAGGTTAGTTATCGAAGTTTTGTCTTTCAATCCGATTTCCCTCAGGTAACGATGTACTTCAGAGGGAGTAAGGGTGTAATATAAAGATAGATTCATCTAGTTCTCTGGTTGATAAGATTCTTAAAAGCTGTTATCTATATTTAAACGCACGGATTGGACAAAATCATTGGAGAAAAAAATGATATTAATAAATGTTCGAACAGCATTATACCTAATATAGATGACATGTTATTATTTTTTATTTGAATGAGGTTTCGATTTCGAATGAGATATTTCCGTATTGAAAACCAAAGCAAGACATGATTTCCACATTATTCGCTGTATGCAACTGCACGCCTAATAATGTCAATTGAACTCAACACAAAAGTGAGTGGGTTTAAATTTTTAACAACGTTTTCCGGCTTAAAACCATTCCTTATCATTCATCTCATATCTTTTAGAAAAAGTAAAGGATTTTCTCCTTGATCCCATAGATCAGCCTTCCTCGTCTTTTTCACCCTAAAGCTCCGTTTTATTGCCATTAAATAGTTTAAGAAAATCAGTCAAAAAAAAGTTTTATGATGTATTCTAATGTGAAGAAGTAGACTAAAGAACTTCCTGATCAATTCAAAGTTTTTTCAAAACAGTTTTTCCCATTCACTTCAGAGGTTGTACCAACTACTCCTTTTGAAGAATTCAAGAATCGGTTCTCTATATTGTGCTGATTTTATTTGTGTCTTACAAGACTATACTGATATGAACGATTTATAAATGTAAGTGTTGTCTGTTGAAAGATTGTGTCTTGGTGTCTGTCAAAACTACCACTTCCTGTTAATTGATTATTCAATCAGGCAATTTGGTTTTACTTCCAAACGAGCAGCCAAGGCAATATCTGTAAATGGTCGCACCAGGTCGTTGTTTTTTTCTTTAATATTGATTATTGTTTTAAGTATCCTCGACAGTAATTTAATTTCCAATGACAGAAATTTTTATTTCAGTTTCAATTTAAATTCTGAATTAGTTAACTGACAATACCCAGCCGTAAGATCTAGTTTGGTGTATAATTTTGATTGTAAGAATAATGGAAACCAGCAATGTCTTGAGCCTGTCACTATTAAATACTACGTACATCTCGACATTTTATTCTGATAATCTGCTCAAAATCTTCATGAACCACCTTTCTTGTACACTATACTTACCGGAAAACTGTATGGGCTGTATATGTATGGATATGTTTTTGTTGGCTTTTCCTGTTTCTGTGACGCTTGGTATGGGGTTAACGCAATTCTATGGCATAATATGTTTCTATTTTATCAACCACTCTTCAGAAAATTGCATCCGATTGGAACATTCTTATAAATGATAAAATAACATGTATATGAACTCTTGGGATATTTATTTGATCGCCAGTGCTGTTTCTGTGACGATGGGTATTGAGATTTACGCAATCCTACGGTTTACTATGATTATAACCCACCAACCGCACCACATTTATACTCAATGTTGACGATGTACACGTGATACAACTGTTCAGAATCAGGTTTGATTCTTCTTCAAGATAAACACATGCCTGGTGTCACGTCTGATGTACCATCAGGTGTTTCGAAAAGAGTAAACATGGTCTACTTCGTGCGCGACATCCGCCACTACTTCATCATGAGATACAATCAGATCAATTTATACCTGCCAAAACAAATAAGCCATGATGCAGGAAACACTTTTGTGATATTGGTCAAGAAGTCGCTATAGTACAACGATCATAAAATTTCCTAAATGAATTTTGAAGTCTATATGTCAAGTAACCTTGCTTAAGTAATTTCAAAGTCAAAACCTTTCTCTGGCTATTATAACTGACTGTGTGATATTGCATTGAGATATTACAATTGTATCCACATTATATTACAATATCAAGCTGATTGTCCCAGACAAATTTGTCTAGAAAGTGAAGAGTGTATCCAATAAAACAAATAATTCAAATACGATTTGAAGTCATTGTCGAAATATTGTAGCTGGACTAAATAAGTCGAGGAAGAGATGCAAAATTGCTGTGAACTACGTTCATGTGTGTTATTTTGACACATACATGCTACCTGATACAACCTCTCTCGAGACTTTTATTTAGTGTCATTTCCTGGATGTTGTTTACCGATTGTTTTTTCATCCGATTTTTTCCTGTCCATGGACAGGACTGGCTTTGAGACTTTGGTATTCTGTCGTTCGGCTTCCAAGTGAGAACCATACTTAGTTTCGTATGTTTTTGCCTATGTTATTAAACGAAGTGTCATTCCTTAAGTAATGCCATGACTTAGTTAATGTTTTGCAACATGTTGACATTCTCCCTGTACCGTCTTTACAATTTTATGTCAAAGAAACATGTTATCCTTGAAGAATGTATTTTATTCATCACGGGACGCAACTCCTTAATTGGATTTATGAAAGTTTTGAACCCTGAATATTAAATAACATGGAATAACATTATGCTGACTGATGACACTGCGTCTTGCCTTGTACTGTAGGTAGGATAATCTTTATCAAGGACACTGGACTTAAAGAATCATAATATCTTATAATAGTTTTTTTTAATTGTGCGCTTGTATTTAAACTTATACGAAATATACAGTTTCCTATTCTAAGTGTATTTATCTTCATTGCCTCTAATATTTATAATCATGTGGGAACCAATATTTTTTTTATATACTAAATTCTGAATACTATGGATTTTCATTTTATAAATGTCAAAATTTCAAATTATATTATAGTATTCAAACTAACTGCACAAAGAATACTCTGTCACTTGAGGGCTACGTCAACCTGCCCTTGCCTGTGCCATGATAAACATACTTAGCCGCAATGTTAAACCTTGTATTCCTAATATGTGTACGTGATGGAATAATGACGATCAACAATTAAGCTGATAGTTACTTGAGGCTATAAAAGAGCGGATGTTTATAATCCGGACTCAGCATGCCGTCTGGCTGTCACATTTACATATCTTGTGGTCACGATCGTGATATTGTTAGAAGAAAACCAAAAACATGTAAAAGAAGTGTAACCAATTCAATCAAATAAAAACACTCATAATTTAAACTCATAACTTCAGGCACGATAAGGTCGGTCTTATCTTATTTAATGCAATCAAAGTTGACGGTTGGTCAACCTCAGTGAATTTATTCTTAGAGGGGT